CTCATAACATACTCGCTGTCAGGGACCTTTTTACGTATTTATTACTTGATGATTCTAATTTAAAGTGTACGTCGACTGTGGTGTTCCAAAAGAAGGCAAAAAAGCTAATATCCGTTACACCTACACTGCTGCGTACTCCAGCGCCAACTATATGTGTTAACTGTCTGAACTGGGGCAGACTCGAAATGATACCATAGTACACTGTCTGATGTCCGGTAAATAAAGTGATTCGTCAAAACAATGTACTAGTAAGTATTATTATAAATAGAGTGATCCGTCAATAAAATGTACTAATAAGTAGTACTATAAATGTAGTGTTCCGTCAATACAATGTACTAGAAAGTAGTACTATAAATGGAGCTATCCGTCAATACAATGTACTAGTAAGTAGTCCTAAATGGAGTGATCCGTCAATACACTGTACTAGTAAGTAGTACTATAAATGGAGCTATCCGTCAATCCAATGTACTAGTAAGTAGTACTATAAATGAAGTGATCCGTCAATACAATGTACTAGTAAGTAGTACTATAAATGGAGCTATCCGTTAATACAATGTACTAGTAAGTAGTACTATAAATGGAGCTATACGTCAATCCAATGTACTAGTAAGTAGTACTATAAATGGAGCTATCCGTCAATCGAATGTACTAGTAAGTAGTAATATAAATGGAGCTATCCGTCAATACAATGTACTAGTAAGTAGTACTATAAATGGAGTTATCCGTCAATACAATGTACTAGTAAGTAGTACTATAAATGTAGTGATTCGTCAACCCAATGTACTAGTAAGTAGTACTATAAATGGAGCTATCCGCCAATACAATGTACTAGTAAGTAGTACTATAAATGGAGTGATCCGTCAATACAATGTACTAGTAAGTAGTACTATAAATGGAGTGATTGGTCAATTCAATGTACTAATAAGTAGTACTATAAATGGAGTTATCCGTCAATACAATGTACTAGTAAGTAGTACTATAAATCAAGTGATCCGTCAATACAATGTACTAGTAAGTAGTACTATAAATGGAGCTATCCGTCAATCCAATGTACTAGTAAGTAGTACTATAAATGGAGCTATGCGTCAACACAATGTACTAGTAAGTAGTTCTATAAATGGAGCTATACGTCAATCCAATGTACTAGTAAGTAGTACTATAAATGGAGCTATCCGTCAATCGAATGTACTAGTAAGTAGTAATATAAATGGAGCTATCCGTCAATACAATGTACTAGTAAGTAGTACTATAAATGGAGTTATCCGTCAATACAATGTACTAGTAAGTAGTACTATAAATGTAGTGATTCGTCAACCCAATGTACTAGTAAGTAGTACTATAAATGGAGCTATCCGCCAATACAATGTACTAGTAAGTAGTACTATAAATGGAGTGATCCGTCAATACAATGTACTAGTAAGTAGTACTATAAATGGAGTGATTGGTCAATTCAATGTACTAATAAGTAGTACTATAAATGGAGTTATCCGTCAATACAATGTACTAGTAAGTAGTACTATAAATCAAGTGATCCGTCAATACAATGTACTAGTAAGTAGTACTATAAATGGAGCTATCCGTCAATCCAATGTACTAGTAAGTAGTACTATAAATGGAGCTATGCGTCAATACAATGTACTAGTAAGTAGTACTATAAATGGAGCTATCCGTCAATACAATGTACTAGTAAGTAGTACTATAAATGGAGCTATCAGTCAATCGAATGTACTAGTAAGTAGTCCTATAAATGGAGCGATCCGTCAGTCCAATGTACTAGTAAGTAGTACTATAAATGGAGCTATCTGTCAATCCAATGTACTAGTAAGTAGTACTATAAATGGAACTATCCGTCAATACAATGTACTAGTAAGTAGTACTATAAATGGTGCTATCCGTCAATTGAATGTACTAGTAAGTAGTACAATAAATGGATCAATCCGTCAATACAATGTACTAGTAAGTAGTAATATAAATGGAGTGATCCGTCAATCGAATGTACTAGTAAGTAGTAATATAAATGGAGCTATCCGTCAATACAATGTACTAGTAAGTAGTACTATAAATGGAGTGATCCGTCAATACAATGTACTAGTAAGTAGTACTATAAATGGAGTGATTCGTCAACCCAATGTACTAGTAAGTAGTACTATAAATGGAGTGATCCGTCAATACAATGTACTAGTAAGTAGTACTATAAATGGAGTGATTCGTCAACCCAATGTACTAGTAAGTAGTACTATAAATGGAGTTATCCGTCAATACAATGTACTAGTAAGTAGTTCTATAAATGGAGCTATCCGTCAATACAATGTACTAGCAAGTAGGACTATAAATGGAGCTATCCTTCAATACAATGTACTAGTAAGTAGTACTATAAATGGAGCTATCCGTCAATACAATGTACTAGTAAGTAGTACTATAAATGGAGCTATCCGTCAATACAATGTACTAGTAAGTAGTACTATAAATGGAGTGATCCGTCAATACAATGTACTAGTAAGTAGAACTATAAATGGAGCTATCCGTCAATACAATGTACTAGTAAGTAGTACTATAAATGGAGTGATCCGTCAATACAATGTACTAGTAAGTAGTACTATAAATGGAGCTATCCGTCAATACAATGTACTAGTAAGTAGAACTATAAATGGAGCTATCCGTCAATACAATGTACTAGTAAGTAGTACTATAAATGGAGTGATCCGTCAATACAATGTACTAGTAAGTAGTACTATAAATGGAGCTATCCGTCAATACAATGTACTAGTAAGTAGTACTATAAATGGAGCATCCGTCAATACAATGTACTAGTAAGTAGTACTATAAATTGAGCTATCCGTCAATACAATGTACTAGCAAGTAGGACTATAAATGGAGCTATCCTTCAATACAATGTACTAGTAAGTAGTACTATAAATGGAGCTATCCGTCAATACAATGTACTAGTAAGTAGAACTATAAATGGAGCGATCCGTCAATACAATGTACTAGTAAGTAGTACTATAAATGGAGCTATCCGTCAATCGAATGTACTAGTAAGTAGTCCTATAAATGGAGCGATCCGTCAATCCAATGTACTAGTAAGTAGTACTATAAATGGAGCTATCTGTCAATCCAATGTACTAGTAAGTAGTACTATAAATGGAGCTATCCGTTAATACAATGTACTAGTAAGTAGTACTATAAATGGAGCTATCCGTTAATCGAATGTACTAGTAAGTAGTCCTTTAAATGGAGTGATCCGTCAATCCAATGTACTAGTAAATAGTACTATTTCTGCACTTTTTTACCAACCGAGATAAAACCATCATAAAACATAAACATTTGGGTTTTGCTCATTGTTGAAGGCCGTACGATGACCTATAGTTATTAGCCTCAATGTCATTTGGTCTCTGGTGGAGAGTTGTTTCTTTTTGGCAATTGTACCACATCTTCTGATATTTATATTTGTAAATTGCGCACACAGACGTTATGAAAAATATATCTCCAAATCAAGCCGTTCATATACAACATGTACAAATAAAAAAAAAATAATTGTATGATTGCAAACGAGACAACATCCTACCAAAGACCGAATGACCTAGATGTTATGAATATAGGTCACTGTACGCTCTTCAACGATGAGTAAAACCAATATCGCATCGTAATCTATAAACGGCTGATATCAATTAAACATCAAATTATAGAAGTTTGACCAAATCAGTTAAGGACTTAGTTGTATGAAACCAATTCACCTTTTGGATTATAAATTATGTAGACATGAAGCGAAAATGCCAAGAAAGCAATCAAAAAATCATATTTGAAGATTCACAGTTAATAGCATGGCAAAAATAAAGATAAAAACCGATCAAAGTCAAACAAATCCACAAAACTCTTCACAGTTAACTTAATAACGACTTTATATTTCCAACATATCAGTCATATTTGATTTTAACAAAGATCACCACCCGTATTCAGAAAAAAATTCAAATAAAGAATAAAAATTCTATGCAATTTGATTATATTATCGAATTGACTTTAAAAATATTTACCACGACTAGTAAAAAGAGGACACTCATGAACGTATAAGAGATACTTATAAAATCATTACAAAAAAAGACGAAAAAAAACAACTACAGCCTTCAAACAATATATATAAGATTACATATACTGAGCAACACGAACCCCACCAAAAACCGGGATTGATCTTATAAGCTGCAACTATTAGCCTTTGAACTGGTGGATATAAAAAGGGTTCAGTAGTGCTGGAGAGTGGCTGTTTGACTTATTTTGCTAAGCGTTTTATTAATATAATCAAAAAGGGACAAATTCTTAACCAAAATGAATTCGGATAAACATATCTGTTTAAACATCTTGGGGTAGGAATGTGTTGCTCATATTTAATTGTTAATCATAATTATTGCCGAGCGATTCAAGATGGTGTAATACCCTGGTGTTATACCACTGCTATCTGTAAGACGGGAATATTGCTATGTTCCTAAATGTTAAAAACATATTTCCTCTGTACATAAGTTCAGCTTTCATTAAAACTTCTCTTTTGATCTTGAACAATGCAAAACAAAAACAGGATCATATTTATCATCATTACGATAACGACAGTTTGTAATTTGCTTAGAACAAGGAGTAAATGAAAAGAAAAGCGATTGTATATTTGTGAATGCAAACAGTTTGCATACCTTCTAAGTATAACATCTAGTACATGGACATGCACGCATTTGCTTTGTTGTGTTTACAAAAAGAACTAATAGCATAACCTTTTTCTTTGTGATTTATACGTATGTATAATGACTTATGATTATCGCTTTGTCTATGTTTCAAACTTACAACAATACAATAGTGTGTTACCATTTAGGAACATAAATATATAACATGGCATAGTTACGGACAGTATCATATGAACATAACGCCACTCAGACTAAAATAACGGATACAACTATATGAAGGCTACTACCACTGACTCATGCTGCAATTATAACTCATACAAACATTAAACACACACAGTCGTTTGTTAAATATATTGCATCAATCTACATGTATACAATAAAGAATATTCGAATGTCAATTGGAATTGTGTTGCCCTGCGGTGTTATCCTTTTAATTTTTTTCTACATTTCCTCTGGTTCTTCAGTTGTTGTGGTCCCTTTCTGTTCTTCCTCTCCTTGGTGTACTTGAATTGACATCATGTCAGCAAAATCATAGTCGCCTACAGAAAAAATGTAGTTTATAAATCAAATATTATCATTAAAGGGAACTACCATTGCCAATTCTATAGAATAGTAATAATCAACAACTAAATTAGTAATTAAACTCAATCATTTTCATTTTCAATACAGAATCACAGCTTGAAAACTGAAGAGTAGCGTAGCAATTATTGTATAAGTAAAAACTAATAAAAAATTTAAAATTTGGTATGATTGCCAATGACATAACTTTACACCTTAAAATAAATGACGCAGAAGTTAGAAACTATAGGTCACGATACAGCTTTCAACAATGAACAAAATCCATACCGTATAGTTGGCTATAAAGGGCCCCGACATGAAAAATATAAAACTATTCAAACGAGATATATAACGGTCTGACTTATATACAAAAATATGGTAAACGTCCCATTTCTCCTATACAATTGGTTAAATCAAAATGGCAATACAATACATGATGACAAACAACCATACCAAATATGAGAGCTTTCTTTAAAAAGGTCTCCGAGAAGTTCGGTTCCTAAGATGACACTATTACAATACTAGAACTCCAAAATACAGTCCGATAATTCCCGGATAATATGGTTGTATCAAAAATACTGTATGATATGACCAACTTCTGTAAAATAGAACCATTGGACATGCATTCAAACATTATCATTGTTATAATACCAAAATATAATGGTTAAATTCCCATTACTCTCGTACACATTGTCAAATTAAACTGACGATACAATCCAACCTAGCATGAGAGCTTTATGTCAAACAGTCTATGAGTAATGATGTGTTTCGGACGGTCTTAAGTAGAACATACATATACCAGAAAAGTCTTTAAAATACATACTTGATGCATGTACATTTACTTATGTGATAAACTGTTGGTACCTTGATAGCTATACTCACCCTCTGTTTGCCAAACACCACTGTGGTAATTGGTTGCATATAAAAAGTAAGGATACTTCTTATAGCTATCAAATAAGCAATCCACTCCATAGCCAACATCCTTGACAAACATCCATCCAGCATCAACGGCACAGCCTAAATAGTTACTCTTGTTAATGTAAAACCGTCTATTGACACCGTAACCATAGCTACAACATACAGAGAAAAAAAATCGTTGAGCCTGTTGTGCTTTCGAAAAATATTATTTCTGGTGTATTACTTTCTTGTTACCTCGAACGCAAAATTTTAAATACACCCAAGTTTGAATAAAGTAATTTTAAGAAGCGTACAGTTTCATAACGAATTTGCAGACGATCGATTGAAACATTTTACGTCTAAATTAATCTCAATAAAAATTCACCGATTTTTTCCCGTTTGTTAGATTGTAGATGAAAAAAGGATAAACAGAAAGGCCAAACAAAGAAACTATTCGATTTTCATACACATGTTTAATTCTATGAAGTTCTATAATATTTTTTTTTTTTATAGTATTCATGTAAAATGTTCCATTTGTCTTTCAATCTTTAAGTAAGCAAGTCGTCCGCTGACTATGAACTTTGTAAAACACATACGACCAACAATGTGTGTAACCCGACATATATACCTATTGTATTAAACACTTACTGCTCTATACAATGTATGACTAAGTCAGGGTCATCGGTGGCCAAGTGGTCTAAGTAGTTCTACTACTGTAATCACCAGCCAGTCAACACTGAGATTGTGAGTTCGAACCCCGCTCGTGCGGGTGCACTCGACTCCAATCTTAATTGACTAGGATTGTCAGTTTTCCTATCGAAGGTCGGTGGTTTTCTCCGGGCACTCCGGCTTCCTCCACCAATAAAAACTGGCCGACACGAAATAGCCCAAAAGTGGCGCTTAAAAGTGGCGTTAAAACACCAACAATCAATCAATCATTGTGTGAAGTCAGATACAAGCGTCAAAGGATTTTATTCTAAAACGCTAGATGCGAAATAACATTTTTAAGCTTTCGGCAGAACTACCACCGCTTAAAATTATCTTTACTATCTGTTATATTTGTAGGACTCTAAAGTGCGATGGGGACGCTAAAACGCGATGGTCACGCTAAAGTGCGATGGCCCACACTAAAGTGCGATGGTTTGATACGCTAAAGCTATTCATTTGAACACGCTAAAGTGCGTTTTTCCGCAAAAGTATCAACGTTAGCAACGTAACAGCATTATGAGGAGAATAATTGTCCAGATTAAGGGTTTAAAAGCAGGTTACGGTTATTACACAAGAAAAGAAAGAAGAGAGAAAAAATGATCACAATCTGGAACATTTTTTGTCGTTGCTGGAAGTGGCCTAGGTTAACTTAATTTGTAAAATTGTAAAAAGAAATTTAATCAAACAGCTGGGGTGCCAAAAAAAGTCTTCTTTTTTACTTTCTAATAGAATAATTCTATAAAAAAAAATTACAACATGCTTTGTTATTTCTGTTAAAAAATGAATATACGTCAACTAGACAGCAACCTAACGGACAGGTTTGTAATATCATCATATGATTGCCAATAAGACAACTCTCTTTCCAAGACCTAATGTCATTAATGTATGCAGATTTAGGTTATAGTATGACCTTTAACGCGGAACATTTAATTTGGCTTACACAGCATAGTATTCTATTAAGACCAAAGGACCTCTAAACAAACAATGTAAAACAATTCAAACGAGAAAAATATCAACGTGATTTAAATACAAAACAAAAAACGAACAGCAAATATGAAATATACCAACAAACGACTACCACTAAATTCCGGATAAACTAACTATTGCAATGTAACCATTACACATTTTGGACAATTATCGTACTTTAATTAAAAATATGAAGATGTAGTTTGAACTATCCATCCAGCCCCAAATGCGTTCATGCATGCAACTTATAATCATACGGCCTTCAACGTAAAGCCTTGGCTCATGCCGCATAACAAGCTATATAGGGTTGAATGGTTTTACACTAGTAATTTTTGGGGCCCTTTATAGCTTGCTGTTCGGTGTGAGCCAAGGCTCCGTGTTAAAGACCGTACTTTGACCTTTAATGGTTTACTTTTATAAATTTTGACTTGGATGGAGAGTTGTCTCATTGGCACTCATACCACGTCTTCTTATATCTTTATACAATGACCAGTGTAAAACAATTCAAAAGAGAAAGACTACGGCTTGATATATAAATAAAACAATAAACGAAATGTAATAGGAACTCAGCAACAAACGAAAACCATTGCCTGAACCACATTCCCGTTACACCATCGGACTTTAGCGTGTCATACCATCGCACTTTAGCGTGGTATCTGATCGCACTTAAAAAAAAAAAAACAAGCAACCATCGCTTTAGAGTACCATCGCACTTTAGAGTCATACATATTTAACAGCAGTTTTGAATAATTTGTCATATTCTATCTCTGCTTTTTATAGTTGTATTCATATTAATGTCAATGAAGTTTCAGATATCGACCAAAACGAGAAATGTAGACATCGACCCAAACGAAAAATGTAGACAACATAAGAAAGAACGGTACTTGTAATTTGGTGTAAATAGAAATACATGTGACTGCAGCAATAACAAAAATTACGGTACCAATTTTACTGCATGAACTAACAATCCATAACAGATATTTTCAATGGGATACTATTGTAACGAAATGACCTTACCCGTACGAACTGAAAAAGGTAAAATGTGCGTCCAGTTCTCCGATGTCCGAATATGAACTTGACAACAACTTGCTCTGTGCAAACCAATTGAATTTGTTAGTGTCGGTTCCATTAAATTTCATTTCAACAACAATTTCACCATCCTTCCATAGCCTCAGTCGTACCTAAGATAAAGAAGTCATAAAAAGTAAGACAACTCTAGTTTATCGACCGCAATACATTTTGGTCAATGGTCATCTATTTATAAAAATTGTAGTGATTTTCCATTCTGTACTTGCATGACTCAAACTTTGAAAACAGATGATCAGCGCCAAAATAGAAATATTTTAATCACTATGCATATAATTTCATCACGTTGCTTTTTCATCGAAGACATTTGATATTTTGACCGCATGTTTCTTCCAACGACAGATACACTATTATCATAGAATATCATTCCCAGAATTTGATATCATTAGTCGAGTATAATATAAAAAAAAGATGCATGTCTCGAAAAAAAAATAATAGCAGAATATTTTAACAAATTTACCTGTTCTATACGACTTGACCGCCATTCATTGAGAATAGGATCTGATTGGTGCGATTGTTTACACGTGTCAGCATCCTCAACAACACTAGATGCTTCACACGTCACTCCAGCATTATCTTTCCAAGCGTCCCATACTGATTGTCCGTTACCAGAACAAGCAACAAAGACCGTCGTCCAATCTACAATGTATCATATTGCAACTGATTTAAACTTATATAGACGTAATTAATACAGCTTTTTTTAAGTAGTTTACTGTTGTGTTTCCTCGACCGACTCATTCCACAAAATATTTAAAGTTCGAAATACTTTATGCTAAGTTTGTGAGTGGAAGCCCGAGTTAACACATCAATATAACCGGTAATACTTATAATTCCATGAAAATGCACCGCCATTGTGTCCAAATCAAAAAGAACATCTACTTTTTATAGGACTTTTTCGCCTTTGTAAGAATTCGTATTCGTGACGTCATGAAATAGGTTTATACCTGTAAAAGCATTGTGGTTGCCATGACCATGATCACAACAACTAACACAATGAAACAAAACGCACAGTATTGGAATTATAAGTATACAATAAAGTTGTAAATACTTTTTTCTGCATTCCAACAGTAGTTTTAAAATGTAACAGTAGGAAATCTAGTAATCGAAAACAAAAGAACATTCACTCTTCTTATGATAGAGTCGAGAAAGTCAATAACAAAACAATGCTGGTGACCATACTTATCAAAAGTTATTTCTAAATAATAATTGTACATTTTAAAGAAATTATTTGTTAAACTGTGTTACAATGTATTAGAAATATACATGCAAATACACGATGTTTTATGTTCATTATTTATCGAGATAATTGTATTAGAAGCTTGTGAAACTGAAATTTAAAAACTGCCAGTCTTTGCTGCATATTGATAAAAAAAAATTGGAAAAAATCGTGTACATACAAAATCTAAAGATCTTTCGGGTCACCAATTTTCGGAGTGTTCCACAAAGTCCTTAGCATGTTACAATTTCCCAAAGTATACTTATTTTTTCACACCTAAGTTATTGAGCACCCCGGTCTGCTCTTGTCACATGAACATTCACTAGAGAAATATTGTCTTTTCGTGAATATAGAAATTTAAAAGTCTGTCTGTGCAGGTTAAGAAATTAAAGATAACTATTCTATTTTTTATATAATTTTAGGAAAATGTCGTCTAGATTTTTGTACATGTATTTGCGGTCTTCTCGATCTATTCACATTCAATGTTTACATCGAGATAAGGTCCGTTTGAATTTGCTTAGTAACTTAATTTCAAAAGTGCCAATCTTTGCTGCATATCAATCGATTCCTTTGGGATTTTCCCCCTGACTCTCTCTGATCTAGCTGTATATATATATACGGAAAATTAGCGTGTTCCAGCGAGGTATACAGCCAGTAGAAAAATAAATTGAAGTTGGTAATCCAGGAATTTATTCGCATAGCATTTAAACCAGTTTTACATCAAGCTTCTATAGCCTGCTGTACTCGTCGTTTGCTACTTAAGGAGGGAAATGCTAACATTAAATGGAAGTTTTGTTTTTATTTCAGCTTATTTCTATTTTTACTATTGACCAGAACGTTTTCCCGTGAATCCATAATTTATAGCGTTCTTGCTAAAATAGGACAAACATTGAGAAGATCTAGTTTTCAGTGTTTACAGGGATGTTAATATTTTGTCACTAGATTTCCCACTGGTACAAGGAAACAGAAGATTGATTTAATGTTTGTTCGTTTAAGGTCCAGCGGCAAATATTTCATACATACTAAAGACGACAAAGAAAATTCTGTATTATTTAATTTTTTGAGCCAATTTTCTCTATTCTTCATACATTTTGCCCATTATTCTCTACTCTTTATATTTTAGCAACCAATTATTCTCTATTTTTTATTTTTTTTTGGCCTATTTTTCTGTATATTTTTATTTTCTGCCCTTTATTCTGTACTGTCTACTCATTATTCTCTATTCTGTAAACCCACACCCTGACCTTCTACTATCCGCGATATTGACATAATTTTATTACTTACCAGACTCCCACATGTTCCAGCCATGCACGTGATGAACAGAAAGTAACATTAATAGTAACGAAAACATTTCAGAACTGGGAACTTTTTCGTTTACAATCGAGGTTTGCAGATATTTATACTGAACAGCATCTACAAATGACACGGTACTTTAAATTTTATAACATTTTAGTTTAATTTCAAATAATTAAAATGATATCTTTAGCGTCAAATGATGTATTTATACATCAATTTATTGCATTGCTGATATTATATTTGACATTGAAACGATACGATGAATTTTAATAGTTTCCATTAAAATTGAACGAAATTGGGATATTAGAAATAAACAAAAGATACATGATATTGTACAGATAACTTATAAACAATTATACTTAATTAACAGCTTTTAACCTTTTAAAAAAATGATTTGAAATGTTCATGGCAGATGTTTTGGGGGTTGTTATTCTATTATCTACAAAATTAGGGTGATGCAATCTCCCCCTTTTTTTTAATTCACTGACAGATTTAATCCTACTGACATTTGAATGTCTACAAGTCTTAATCATGTATATTTGACGGTACTAACTTTACCGCACCAAATATCAACAATGAATGTGTTTTCGATAATGCACAAGGTCAAAATATTGGAAAAATCAAAACGTTGCAGATCTACCAGAACCGGAAGGAACCCTAATGTGTAGCTTGAAACATTTTGTAACAATTTTGCATGCATATATCCATACAATATAAGTCATCAATACACATTAATGGTAAAGACAATTTTGATACAATATTTCAAATTCGCATGTTCCTGTTCTAATTTGCTTTGAACGACATCTTAAACAAACTGAAAATTTACATTTTTTTTTGTTAAGAATGTCTTCTTATCCATGTTTTTGATAATGTATTCAAAATTTGCTAAAATCTATTATTTTTGAATTTTGGATTATATTTAGTTCAATTTTGTTATACCAGGAAAACGAATGCGTCAGTTTGTTAATAGCTTTACGATATATATCAGAAATACATGAGGTATACTGCGACCAGTGGCAACTATTTTATAATGCATATTAAGAACGATATTAAATAAATACCATATCTAATACATTACAGGGAGGTTCTGCAAAGTGGATTTTCCAGGACGAAAGATGGGAAATTGCCTATTACAAGAACAAAACGAAGTATGTGAGATATATAGGATAACATTTTTGTCATACAATTACGCACCTAGGGACACTTCAAATGGTTAACGTTGTTACAAGAGTTATTCTACGTTCAGGAAGCGTTGTTTTTTTCTCTAAACGAGGAATCTGATGAAATGGCTCAACTCCAACCGGACCTGGTTGCGTTTTCATCCCTTCCAGCTTATGAAATGGATGACAACTAATCGTTAGTTTTATTAACCAGACAGGAGAAATCTCCAGGTAAACATTTGTATATCTATATCCTTGTGAATCAGTTTTAGTCTGTTTTGAAGTATATCATATTTATAAGTAATACCAACCGGTCAAAGATACAGCTTTTTAGGACACTATTTCTCTTAAATAAAAATGGACAGAATTTTCAGTCAGTATCCTCCAAAGTATATACTAGCTGGTTATTAGATATTGATAAACATTCCATGCTCAGTGGGTGTAATAAACAAAAAAAATTAATGTATCATCAGTACATAAGGAACTACTCACATATAAGCTGAACAAGTCTAACTGTAAGCAAAGCTAACCTTATGATACCCCTGCTTTAAATATTTGGTAAACAGAAAGTTGATTAGCGACGTATTTGGTAAACAGAAAGAGTTGACGAGTGATGAATGTCAAAAGCATTCCACTGTGTAGCATGCTCACATAAAGCTAAATACCAAATTTCAAGAAGTTCTGATTTGTTGTCCCTGAGAAAAAAAAACATGTCATTGGGTGGACAGACGAACACATTGACCAAATATCAAATTATTCCTTAAAACAGAAACTGATATTGTGTTACAAAAGCTATTGACAGACAAAAAGACAGAAGAATAGAGAAAGTGACATCGCAGTAAACAACTCTGTGAGTGGGAGTATACTAAAACGACCGATACCATATTATTTGGCTGAAGTTTGAAAACTATTCATTATTGCATCTCACTATGGAATATCCCATCTTACAACAGCCATATCTAAAAGGCTGAAAAGACAAATATTTTTCAGGAAGGAAGTTTTTGGAATAAGTTAATAGAGATTGAATTGTCTCTGGGTTCACGAAAGAACTCTTTATTTCACAGGGAATTCAATATTTGGTGTTTCCACAGATTTTAATATAAGAAAACCCCTACCACTCCTATGCTCTGGACTAGAGATTCCATGACCGAGCAACCTGGTAAATATATAAATAGCATATAATTCATTCATACAACTGCCAACCAATCATACCGTCAGTGCTACCTCATATCAATATGTTTTATTTATTTGGATTTCAATCAGTACAAACTTAACTCAGGTTAACAAACTCTTAAACCTTCATGGAATGTAACTAACTGTTACACTACTGTTTAATATGTAGAACAATTTAATATTGATATTTCACTGATTGGTACCAAGTGCTTTTAAGTTAGTGCTTAACCTTTATGAATATTTAATTCCACGAGAAATACATCAGTTTCTGGCATCAGTTAGCCAGTTAATAGGAGAAGTCAACACATTTATGGAGTGTAGGGGATCATGAAGCTTTCTTTTTCTTGATGTTAGTAACATCTTATTATTTCTGCAATATTTTTAATACGTCTTAAATGTTTTTTTCTTTGAAAATATATGCAGTTATATCATATAAACATTCAATTGATCAAAAGCCTTTCCTCTGAAATATGACTTTAAAATAAGCACTTCCACGACCTCAATGTGCTTGGTATATATGTCCCTAAACTGAGGTCAAAATCAAACGTGTCAGAAACTTGATATTAGGCATAGAGTTCACTCTTAAAAATGAAAATCTTGATAAACCATTACGAAATGCAAAGGCAAAAAATATTTCACAAAAAAGGGGGCATAGTTTTTGCGGTAAAAAAGTATCATCCCAAATTTTGTTGTAAAGAAATTATTCTCTGCCCTAGACTTTGTTAGGTTTTATGGGTTTTTCCCATTTTATTAACAAAATGGATGTAAGCAATTATAGACAACCGAAAGGCTTTCAACAGGGAGAAAAACCCATACCGTATAGTCGGCTTTAAAAGGCCCCGATAAACTATATCAGTTATGTATCTTCAAATTAAACAAAAACAAAAAGTCAAACACGCCTAACATACTACATTTATTCGAATACATCAGACCTATAAAATGTAAGAACCGTCTACAACAAGGTAACTTATAAATCAGTTTTTGTACATTGTTCTATTTTTAGTAAAAGAAAATGAAAATAATTTGGTAGACATAATCACCAAGTTCTTTATAATTGAATGTATCAATACATTTACTTAAGGTTCATGTGGACCCTTTGGCTAAAATGGCTGCATTTTCACCTCAAAATTTACTCTGAGTACAGACAAACCTGCGCATCTGGAAAAGTTTTAAGGCATAGCATGCCCTAGATAAATAAACTTCTAATGCATTGTATGTTTTAGAAAATTTAAAACTTAACTGGATTTAGCAGTGCACTTTTTTTCGTTCCTGCAGAAGATGATAAAATTAACAAACAGTTGAGTTTCACTTGATATGGTCCACTCAGGTACACAGTTTAAATCACCAATTATTGTCAGGTATCTATTGTCCATCTATTGTCCATGTCAATCAAAACAGTTCACTTCAATTATTACCTGTGGGGAAGTTCTCAAACCACTTTCCCAACTTAGTTTATTTTGGCACCTTCTGGAGGAATGAAAAAAAGTGCACTGCAAAATCCGGTTAAGTTTTTAATTTTCTAAAACATAAAATATATTTGAATTTTATTTATCTAGGGCATGCTATGCCTTGAAACTTTTCCAGATGCACAGGTTTGTCTGTACTCAGAGTAAATTTTGAGGTGAAAATGCAGCCATTTTAGACGAAGGGTCCACATGAACCTTAAAGTATATACTTGACATATGAGGGTTTCTTTTAGTCAAGTATTGAGATTCCAGATACAAAAGTCGAACTGCAAGTTAAAAAAAGTCCAGTTGCGAGTTGCAAAAATCGAGTTTCGAGTTACACAAGTCGAGTTGCGAGTTACAAAAGTTGAGTTGCGAGTTAAGAAAGTCTATTTAAAATATCTGAAAAATAATTATTCATATCATTGGTTAATAAGCGGATGACCATTCTAAATGTAAGCCTTGAAGTTTTTTTAATTGAATTGATCGATTTATTATTGTGTTTAAGGATCATCAAAAGGAATTGAAAAATACGGCCATGTTTACACCACAAAATCTACTATGAGTAGAGACAAACTATGCATCTAGGAAAGTTTTAAGGTATGGCAGGACCTAGATATATAAAAGTTATATGTAGTCTATGTTTCAGAAAATTAAAAACTTACCTGGATTTTGATGTGCATTTTTTTCCAGTCTGCAGAAGATAGCAAAATAAATATGCACATGAGTTTCATTTGATACGGTCACTCCGTTTACATAGTTTAAATCACCTATTGTTTGCAAATTCTATTGTCCATCTATTGTCCATTTAAATCAATACCACTCAGTAATAACATTTATTATATGAGGGGAACTTCTCAAACCTCTTTCCCAACTTAGTTTATTTTGGCACCGTCTGCAGGAATGAATAGCAAAATCCAGAAAAGTTTATAATTTTCTGAAACATAAAATTTAATTATCTAGTTCCTGCCATGCCTTAAAACTTTTCCAGGTGCACAGGTTTGTCTGTACTTAGAGTAAAATTTGTGGTGAATACGGCCATATTAAACATTTGCGGAAACTACGTCTATACCTAGGATTACACTTAGACTTACGAATACAGTTGACGAAAAACAAGGGGTCATCTCAAAATTTAAAAAAGCAATAATACAGATACCTTAGTAAAACCAAATGATTGTTTTTTGTTGTTGTTATGTCAATAAAACGTTTCGACGACACACTAATTCAACGCAAATGGTCACAACAGATTTGAATCGCTGTATTGGATATGTCACCAAAAACCCCCTTTAAGTTAACTTTGTATTTTGTTTTTAATTCTCCGATGGCGTGTTCAAGAT